TTTTTTTTTTTTTTTTTTTTTTTTTTTTTTTTTTTTTTTTTTTTTTTTTTTTTGTCTTCGCGTACTTGTCACATTTACTCAATTCATTCAAATCACGACCAAACTATATTCGTTAAAATGAACACCACAATGAAGTAACAATAATTTTACTTTCTGCATCAGTGAACTGACGAGGGTCGTACGACAGGGTCTCGAAAGCGCCGGCGTGTGGCTCATCGAGGCCATAGGCGGGAGGAGCGATCTCCTGGACCTGTACAACTCGGACGTGCACACGGCCTTGCACCTAGCCGTCATGCTGGGCAGCGCCACCCTCACCCGAAAACTCGTGCTCTCCGGTGCAAACGCCAAGCTGATGACCGAGGACGGCAACACTCCTCTGCACTTGGCTTGCATGAGCAACAACCTCGACTGCCTGAAAGCCCTGACGTTGCCCTTTGCTCCGGAAGAGCTGGCCGCGCTGCAGGGGAGCGTGGAAAACCAGCCGAGACCGAGTGTCAACTTGGAGGCGAAAAATGGCCAAGGTCGGTACCGTTACCTCCAAGCTCTTGATTTTTCTCCAAGACCCGCAAAATTGCCCGGGCCCTCACGGTAACTTTCACGTCCAACGGTGCATTTTCTATTCCGTAGGAAAAACTTGCCTGCACTTGGCTGTGAGGAAAAGAAACGAAGCGGTGGTGCATCATCTGTTGGAGTCCGGTGCGGACGTCAATACGACGGAAAACCTCACCGGCAAGGCGGCCTTGCATTTGGCAGCCGAGGATGGCACGCTGCGGTTTGTTCACCTCTTGGCGCAAAACAAGAACTGTGATTTGAATCAGGAAAATTATGCTGGATCCACGGCTTACGAGGTTGCGGTGAATAACGGTCACTTACATGTGTGCCATTACCTCTATACTTTGGGGGCGGACACGAGGTATCGCGAGGAAGAAGAGAAATATATTTTGATACTTTGATGTGTCATTGCACGCGCAAATGGTGATTGTTTGGGTACATATACAGAAGTTCATGAACAATAACAAGTGTAAAATGTTCTTACTGTTACTTGTGTTACGAAAAGGCTTTTTACGATACAAGTGTGTGTAAAAACTGAGAGTTATTGTGATAAAACATTGCGAGGGAACAAAAAGTTTTTCGTGCCATGCGGATTTTTGTAAAAACTACACGTGTATATACATATCAAATTGTTAAAAATTTTGTAAAAAAATAATAACAATAATAGAAATATCGACCTATATCGTTTTAATTGTTCTTTTTTTCCCCCGCTTTAATCATACATCGCAAATTTTCTAGTCAATAAAAATGACATCTCTTCAAAGAAAATCGGCGTGGGATGTACAATAATATAAAAATAACACTCGTTACGATTTTCCGCAAAGTGAAAAAATTTGTTTTTGCCTTGGGGGGGGGGGGGTTGAGTAGCAAATGGAACTTGGAAATCGGGAATGAGGAAAAACGGTGGCCACTTTTGTACGCGACGCGTAGGACAACGTTTTCCTTCATTTTCTTTTCTGTTTAAATCGAGTAAAATTGTATTTGGTTGTCCTCCGGGAAAGTACCGTCGTACAAGCACATAATTATACGGTCAAAGACGAACAAAATCGGCGCTACGGAGCACTTTGGTGCACGGCTCGTCACCTAACTAGCAAAAAAACTCGTCCTCCAAAAGAATAAACACCGAGGCTGTAAACGTGCATACCAATAACTCTCCCAAATTACCCGACGGGATAAACGATGTATTGTACAGGCTCGTATAGGCATGCACGCGACAAGAAACACTGTTTTTACCAGCTCTTCGAGTAAACGGGACCAGCAACAGCTCTTTACGAATAAATAACAGAGCCAAACACTTTTTACCCTTCCTCCTCCTGCCAACGCCAGGACGGAAATTTTTAATTACCGCTCGTTCGCTTACCCGCACTTTTTCCCTCGTGCATTTGACAAGGCGAGTTAGCTACGGCCATACTTTGTATACAACCGTGCAAGCAAACACCTGTAAGTGAAACAACAGCCGAGACTGCACTGTGCGCTTGGGTGGAGCTCAATTGTTCCACGGATTTTCGAAAAATCCATTGGTTCATTGTTTTTTCGAGACTTTCCCAGCCAAAAAAACAATGCCACTAATTTTTAGAGATACTATGACTCCTGTTTTGTTCCTTTCTACCCATTACTACACTTTCAGAAAACAAAGAATGTATATATTATACATATATACATAACAAAGTACGCATATTATGTATAACTTATATACAAAAAATGTAATTGAGCAACAGAGAAGGGCGGGACGTTGTTTGCCAAACATTATTTATAAAAAAAAAACACAACAGCGAGATAAAAAACTCACCTTTGGCGAATGGCGCGAGCAGCAGGTAATTAGCGAGAGCTGCCCCGGTGTCGTGGCCCATGAGGGTGACGCGGCCCGGATCGCCACCAAAGGCGCCTATGTTGTCGCGCACCCAAGCGAGGCCCATCGCCAGGTCGTGCAGCGCCAGGTTGCCGCTCGCCACCGAGTCCTGCGACTCTGTGAGCGGCTTCGTCCTCAGGAAACCTGCGGATCGGTTGAACATTTTTTTTTTTTTTTTTCGAACAGTTCGAACGGCCACTTGGGGGAAACGGAAGGGGAAAAAGTTTGCCTATACTTTTCGGGGGTGGGGCGGATATCAGGGACAAAAGGTGCCCTTTGGCAGGAAAGTTTTCGTTCCACTCGACCGGTGTACATAATGCGCGCACACGGGCGAGCTCAAACTCCATCGTTGGTTCATGATTAGAAAGCCGTTGGATGCGTGTGTAGCAAGGTAATGCGGCCAGCGGGTATATAATCCTGAGGAAAGTTTGGGCGGACGGGAATCGGAGTTGGGTGCCCTTGCACGTACGTACCTAAAATCCCAAGGCGATAGTTGAGTGTAACGAGGATGACGTGGCCCGCGCTCGCGAGCACCGAGCCGTCGTATACGTTGCCGGTGCCCCACTCGAAGCTCTCACCGTGTATGTAAACTATCACGGCGTAGGGCGCCTCCAATCCTCGGGCACCTGGAACACGCAATTTTTAGCACTGCTGGAAGTTGATGCAGCGAGTCGAACTTCCCATTGAGCACATGTTTTTTTTTTTTTTTTTTTTTTTATTGGGAAGGTGTTGTGCACCACGAATATGCACCAACAGGTCAGACAATCAATTAATAATCAGTCCATTTGTTAATTCGTCGAGTTGTGTAATTAGTAAAATTGTGTTGATCAGCATTCAAAATTATTGTTCGTTGGGTCGAACGAATTAACGAGCGCGCGTGTAACTCGAACTGTNTTTTTTTTTTTTTTTTTTTTTTTTTTTTTTTTTTTTTTTTACCACCCGTTCCTTAAATTGCGTGTACGTGTGTATAGGTGGGTATAAATTAATAATCAGTCCATTTGTTAATTCGTCGAGTTGTGTAATTAGTAAAATTGTGTTGATCAGCATTCAAAATTATTGTTCGTTGGGTCGAACGAATTAACGAGCGCGCGTGTAACTCGAACTGTAACTGCTAATCAACAGGAAAAAAAAGAAAAGGTTTTTTGTTTCTTTTTTGCCCGAGCATTGGTTCATTTTGTTGACTCACTGGGCAAAAGATGAAAAAGAGATTATAAAAAAATTATTCGCCCAACTTGGCTCTCAAACGGATCGTAGATCTTCCTGGGAATCATGGAATCGAGTCTTATTTTCGAGGAGACGAGTAAAAATAATGTAACAATGATGAGTGTAGGGAAAGCAACCTGTTACTTTTAAACGAATGCCCGTTTAATTACTGCTTGGCGAGTGGACAGCTGGGAGCAAAAATCTCAAGAGAGGGAGAAAGAAGAAAAAGGCGTGCAGCTGGCACCGAGTGTGTTTAATTAGTCCGATGCTCCCTCCGTTGTGCTGAGCTCATTGGTGTAAGTGCACACGCGGAGCGATTTTTCGGGAAGACAACGCGAGAACGAGGCGCGTGGGCCGCAGGAAGGAAGTGAGAGCGATTTAGTTAGGTGTATAAACTTGCGGAAATTCATTAGAGCGCGACGCCGCGATAATTCATAGACGCCTCGCTGTTGAGGGGCACGGGCTCTCCCTTTCCCTCGCAAACGACTGTTTCGTTGTGCGAGCGATTACTCGGGTTTCGGGTGAGCGGTGTTTAACTTTGGTAGAGGGGAAGTATTTTTTTGTTTTGTTTTTGTTTCATTTAATTTCACCGATTCGCCAGATAGGCTCACAAACTTGTACATTAATCAAATTTTCAATATATTATCCAAATAAAAGAAAGACTGTTTTTTAACTGTGTTCCACTGCGCTACGAGAATAATTGAATCATTTTTTTTTTTTTTTTTTGACGAAATTACAGTTAATTTTCTCGGTATTTGTTACATTCAGCGACGATATTATTGTACCGAAAATAAAAATAAAGTTAATAAAATTCTTGTCGAATTTACCGAGCTCTATATTCATTAGTCCGGCGGGGTAGGGGAGGGTCAACTTTTTTAATTGCAGCAACACACAAACAAAATATCTCGAAACATGGTCAATTTTTAAATTGGAAATTTGCGACAAGCCGCATTTCTTTACCCAATCGATAGGTAATTTAAAAGTTAGTTCGGTACAAGCGCAAGTATCGGGATGAAATTTAAACGAAAACAAGGGAGGGAAGCTCGCTTTTTTGCGCCCTCGCGACGAAAGAACAAACTAATTAAAGTACAGAAGAAAATAAAGCTTCAGCGCAGTCAGGAAGGTAGTGGGTCTTTGCGCGCGGCATTTTTTTTTTATTTTTTTTTTAAATATTTTACTTCTTGCGCGAGGGCAAAATAAGGCGTCCACCCTGCATTTACGCTTCTGAAATAAGATCACCGGGAAAGGAGCGACGGCGCCTCTCGTTAAAATTTAATTAAAGTGTAAGCTTTTCAATACTTTTTACCATCGCGAAAAACTCTTCCCTCTTATTCCTTAAATATGTTTATCCCTTTTATCCCATAAACACGAACGAAATAAGATTTTTTTTTTTTAACCCTTTGACCGCACATTAATCGCATCTTTTCAAATTCTTGCACTCGTAAATTGAAAAAAAAAATTTTTTTTTACATCAATAAATAGAAATAAAAATAAACCAAACGAATTCCCAGGCAAAACAACCAGGTCGAGAACTCTTGCGATAAAACCCGTCAATTGGAGCGACCAGCGGAGCACTCGAATACGAAAAAAAAAAAAAAAAAAAAATTTAATTCGCGTTTCTCCGTTAAGTGGATAACGCACCCTCTGCAAATTAATCGCAAGCACATGATCTGCATCGAAATACGTTTCAACGACTATCCTTTGCAAAAAAATGTGTGCGACAAAAAAAGTGTCTTGCACCACTGTACTATGGCGATGGAAAAAAAAAACTGTAGACCGCATTAATAACCGCGCTCTCTCTGCGTCTCGGTTGAAAAAAAAAAAAAAAAAAAAAAAAATTAATTCCAGCCATTCGCGACGAAGCGACGAGTACCGAATCGTCACTCAATAGAGACGATGACGCGCGAACGTCAATCCCCTCGAAAGCCCTTGTTGTCATCGCCGTCCTACGGTCGACTCCGAGCAAAAAGGGCCATTATTACACGGGCGCGAGTGTGTTGCAGCTGCCTGCAGGGGTCGGGTTGGCGAAATTAAATTCGGTGCTTCCACGCTTGCGGCGACGGGAGTACGCGTATATATATACACATACACATGATGTAGGTGTACAGCTTCCGGCTTCACACGCTCCACCTTTATATCGTTATTCTGTGCACCGCGTGCGGAGGGCGCCTTTGGCCGCGCGTGAGGGGGTTGAATTTCGCAAACTCGGGGGAACGACGCTTCCATGGATCGCGTGGTTACCAGAGTAGATACAACAGTAGTACCAGCATAGTGGGAGCATCGGCAGGCGCGACCAACGAAAAACTGGTTTCCGTCATGCATTTGGGGAACAAAAATTTTTCCCTTGGATTTTCACGTAAGTGTACTTACACCCGTTTCTAAGCTTTTACCCATCTCCCTCCATAACATGAGCATACTTTGCGGGCACGTACGTTTTTTTTTTCTTTCTTAAGCCACGCGTGATGGATCATCGACGAAAATTCCATTCCGTATCCACCTGCTTCGGAGTGGGTACACGTTCCGCCGATAAATTACGTTGACGAAGAGCGCGACACAATTTTGGTGTATATTTATTTTCTCTTCAAAAAAACTTTGACGCGCTGCTCAACAATCGGCAATTATTTAATTTTATCAACATTTACCACCCGGCGAATGTCGGTGTATCGTCAGACACTATATATATAGACGCGAGATCTACAAAACCAAGTAGAAAAGGTCGGAACAGCGTCAGACCAAAGACAAGCAAGAGTCGGCAAGGCAGCAAGTAGTACGAGTCAGAGTACAGTCAGACAGTCACAACTTACCGCTGCCGGGTATGTAGAGGTTGAGAAAGAGACAGTCCTCGCTGTGGTTGGCGACGAACTTGGCCAGCCTGACGAGCTGGTTGTACCTGCCCTGGGGCATGTCCTGGAGGGCGATGGTCCGGTTGCGCAGGTCGGGCAGCTTTTGCGGGCAGGGCTGGCCGAAGGTGTCGGCGCGCTTGATGCCCTTCCAAACCAGGGGCGGCTGGGGCGGCCGGAGCCTCAGATCGCCGACGGGCGCTGCTGCGTAGGGTATGCCCCGGAAGACCTCCACCGGGTCCAGGTGCTGACTGTTCAAGTCCTGCAACGGGTCAGGCAAAATCCGGACTTTAGTCTCGAGGTGTATTGTGTGATGTGTACTGCACCCTCGAAGGGAGCTCATCTAATGGTTGTCGAGGCTTTTTTGCTCTCCCAAACCCACTGGCTATTTTGTGCAAACTTCTTCGTGTCAACAGGGAAACACATGTCTATGGAAGTATTTGAAAATGAGTGAAATAGAGAAAAACAAAACAAAACTGGGCCACCTTTACATAAAAAAAATTATGAGTTACCAAGTATTTTTGGATTGGATCAGATTCTCGGTATTAGTTGTTAATGGGTATACTTTTTTTTTTACATTCCCTTGAGGATTAGTACCTACATAAACATCCACTTTACAAACTACACACATGCATGTGTTCAAACTTTAAGCTGCAAATTTATTACTTAGGGTAATTTAACGGGAACATAAGAAAAAAAATGAAATTATACAAGCTTACGTAAGTTAGTGTTTTAAATAAATTCTCAGAGTACAAAATTTAAAGTCTTTTCATTTTAGATCACACAAAAATTGTATTAATGTAGGTACAATTCAAATAACATCTTAGAGTATGATTTTTAACCAATACATATATTGGAAAATACTTTAAGATAAGAAGTGATGCCACGATAAGAGTAAACATGTTTACAACTCAGAGTCATTTTATAGCTGTATTGTATTTTATTCAACTGGTTATGAAACAAACTATTTTGAAAAATAAATTAAGTGCTTTTATCAATAATATAGTGTTTATACATTTTTTAACACTTCATTTAGTAATGAGTTTATCTTAGAATACAAGGCTTCATAAGTTCTAGAAATATATTTAAGTTCCTTGATGCGTTGAAAAACGATATCTCTTACAGTTAAATCTACATTTTCCTCTTGATCTCCTATCTCTATACACTCGAATGACATATTAATCAAGTTTTCTAACACATTTTTTAATCCATTGGTATTACCGGAACATTGAAGTGCTGACATAAACTTTGTTGTGCATTTCTTGTAATTCTTGTAATATCTTACGGTTCTTAACACCGAGGCCAAGTAATTCATAAGTTTAACAGTAAGTTCTGGATCCACAGGCTCAAAGCCTGAGTTAAAATACTTCCTCAGTTCGGGTGACATTTGCAAATTTGCTTCCATTTTCTCGATACCACCGGGGCATACTAATAATAAACAATGATTCATGTGCTCTCTACATTTACTTTCACTGAGAACTGACTGGCCATAACTTGTAAATTCAGCAACCTTATCTTTGAGCATCTCAATCATGGTGTTACTGAAAGTTTTAAAAAAATTTTTTTTAAACCGTAAGATTTCGGTAATTCAGGATATGAAAGTTGGTCAGTAAATAAATTAAAGTTACAGTGAATCTGAGGCTTGATAATGTTTTTTTTTTTTTTTTTTTTTTTTTTTTTTTTTTTTACCACCCGTTCCTTAAATTGCGTGTACGTGTGTATAGGTGGGTATAAATTAATAATCAGNCATGGGCATCACAGCGGCAGCATGGGACCGACAACACCATGCCGCGTCTCTTGCTCCTGACTCCGCGCTTACCTCGCCACCATCTCCCGCAAAGCCCCGTTGTTTGCGCACGTGCACCCCCCCTTTTTTTTTTTTTTTTTTTTTTTTTTTTTTTTTTTTTAACTTGTCAGGGAGATCAGACAGATGAGAATTGAAGTATTGGCTATTTTTACCTATAACCTATGACTTAAGGCTCAAATTCTTTCTACTTCTGTCATCCCTGTATCGAAAAAAGCACGATAGGCTCCATAGCAATAAAATTACAGAGCATGCTAAGGCACGATATTTCGACTCTGTACATTCAACAGTTCAACAATAACCAAGTCAAATCTACTGACCAGAAATTCATCAGGGCCACTGGAGCCACAATACTCCTGAATGGATTGTAATAGAAAAATTGACTTAATTTCATCAACTCACCTCATTTTTGATACTACTTTTTGTTTAGAAAATAGTAACCCTTTGTAAAATAAACAAGATGAAACTAAGAGTTTACAGAGAAAAATCCATATCAAGCATAATACAAGTGGCTCAAAATGGCGCATGCACAAATTTTTCTGCTCATTGTTTTGTTTTCCCCGTGTTCACCGGCCGCTTCGCTACGAACGCGATTACCTCTCGAGATATCGATACTCGAAAGTAGCGTCAATATCGAGTTGTCAATCGATATGTTTCAAGGCGGTAAATTCAAATTACGTGCAATAAGATAGTTAAAAAGTTTAATGAAACAAGTTTGCGAATAATGCTTATTATTATATAACTCTTATTGATTTATGAGGAACATCGACTTGTAGGCATTTTTAGGTGCATAATAAAAAATTGATTCATAGTACGTATGAAAACATAAAGTATACAGTAAAACTATGTTAGCATACAGCTTTTACACGATTATGTTTAAATCGTTTTATCAACTGACGGTTTGTAAACACATGAAAAAAATCTATCAGGTGAATGAGCAAGTAAGAAATACTATAACTTTACCTATAAAAATGTTTGATGATTCACATGTTCTGGTATATGAACATACATATCTATTGTCGGGAGAAAAAGAATCGTTAACGCTTTGACATGAACTAAAAAAACACCCATAGGTTACGTCTGTCAAAAACATTCTCAATATTTACCCACCCAAGTACCTGTTGTTTTAGTAACTTCAATTTTCAGTTCCAGCGATTGTGATTCCGGTCGCAGGCCCGAATATTTTTTTAGCCGCGTGTACGAGAGACGAAAAGCAAATTGAAAACCGATCGAGCCATCGAACCGCGTTGGCGCACGTGCTGTTCATACATCACACGTGAAAAATGAATTTCGGAAAGTGCGCCCGAACATTCGACGTATTTTTTTTTAACTTCTGCATCAGCGATTCCGAAAGTTCCAATTTTCACTAAAATTCCATTGTTGAAAAAATAACGCGACGCTACTAGTTAAATTCGACACAAAAATCACACATATATACACCATGTGATATTAGTTTGTCCAAATATCCCAAGAGAGTCTGCAGTTGCAGTAATGCCTCTCAGTTGATACATTTTCATTTTTACATTTTATTCCGGATAAAAGAGTATATATAAAATACAAGCGTAAGGGTGTATACGTATAGCCGAGAAAAGCCGAAAAACACGCAGAAAAAGGGGCGAATCAGGATACACTTTTCCGAGGTAACAACATATTCTCTGCATGATCTTATATACTTACTTGCTTGCTTGAACATGAAAAGAAGCTTTTGAAAAGCGTATTATACGTGCAGGTTGCACGTAAGATTATACCCTGTACAATGTACCTAATACCTATGACGTCAAAACGCGCATGTAAAATGAAAATGTCAAAAAACGTATGCAATATTTTACACAAAAGCATATACTTTATTATCTATACGTGCTCTGTCGTTTGTATACTATACCTCATACAAAGTAAAAGAGAATAAAGTCTGTAGAGCTTCGAGTCCTGTACTATATGGCACATGGAAGATTTTGATTAACTCGTGCGGCTTATGGGTTCGAATTTTGTTTGAAAGTTTCTTCGTAAAATTCGAGAACTCGCGCCTTTACAAAGTTTATATTGGTAAAAGTGCAGCTGCAGACGTGTACGAGGCCGGGATGCGTTTGGAATATGTTTATACAGACCATCACGGCGATATATATCCTTTGGCGAAATCGCGGGAATATTTCATCTCAAAAAAGTTACAGTTTTCAACTTTGCTTTGAACATATATATATATATATATATATACATCTAAACGAACGCAATGTATGGCATATTGTACAAATTGACGTTCGGTTGGTCGAAACAAGGTAATCGAAAGCAAAAAAGAAGAATCGTTTTGTAGTTCTTCGAAATACGATGATATCGACCGATTGACCAAAAAGTGACTGCACTGTATAATAAAAAATAAAAAAAACGTAAAAACGCACATCGGGGCAATATTTTTCAGGCACACCTATTCTCGATAATTCCATCGGCACAACTTTTTATCTTCACGCACGGTTGGACGCATACAAAAAACAAGCTGCCGCAACACCAGCACCAGCCTTTCAAATGAATAAAAAATAAAAAAAAAACCAGGCACACCCACCTGTATATGTACAATACAGTTTTGTTTTTTTTTCCCCCACAAAAGGGATAATGTACGTGGTGCATGGTTTGGTGCGTTTATCTCCATAAAACGCAGCAAATATACCCATACGCGAGCGCGGAACCCTTTCTTCGAGGCAACGTTTGCCTTTGCACCCGCTGAAATATATACATATATATACGTATTAATAAACGTATATCCATCCGACGAGCGAGAGCATGCGAACTGTAGCTTTATCTTCCTTCCATCACCCCTTTTCTTCCCTCCGAGGCCCCATCGTTTGTTTCGCCCATAAATAATCATCAATTGTACATATATATGTTGTAAAAAGTATAGGTAATGCACACACGCGATGTATTTTGAACTCCCTATTAATCGGAATAAAAGTATGGTGACATACAGAGGCAACCTGCATGTACTCATGACATACAAAGCGAGTCTAATGAAGAAAAAGGGGATTCAATTGTCCATTGAATCATTTGCGTAAAGTATTTTGTAATTTTCACACCTGTACAGCTCGGGGCTGGGACATTACATCATATACACGTCTATATTAAATGCCTGAGGGTATCTTGCGGTGGACAGTTGTATTGGGCGTAGCCTACGCTAAACTATACCGATGTGCGTATGTAAAAATGTTCAATTTTCGAATTAGGTACTTATCGTATCCAATAAGGTATTAAAAACTTACGGTAAGAAGAGAGCGTGCGCGCGTGTGATGCACGTTTGGCCGTTCCTCCGCGCGCGTGGTGGACAATTTCATTCGAAAATCAATCTAGACACCCCCGCGCACGTGACCGTAATCTCTTATCACCACCACTGCGTATGTAGGGTATATAATATATTATATACACACACTCCTTGGTATATCGATCGCAGTCGACACTCTTATACAGTATACGCTCGCGCCTGGGACTGGAGGTTATTCGAGCATTTGGAATTCCAAACGCGAGTCGATATCATTTGGTCCCCGAGCCGAACGAGCTAAAAGACGAACGATAATGTATTAACTTTTCAACCAATTCGAGCGCATATACATATAAATGTGTATATATGTTTACTCCGCACACACTTACACCCGGCTTTTAAGTAATTTACAATCTGCAATATACACATGTATAAGTGATATCACTTGATAAATTTGATGACGATATACTTGAGCAAAGTATAATATATACATATAAGCGATTCAAGGGTAGGTGTACGGCCTATATGCTTTTTCGAATTTTTCATCCTTACCGTAATCACAAAGTAAGTACGAGTATACCACCACCTCCTTTGTGGTCTACGAATAGTTGTACGTATAGCATTTATACACGAGAGGATTCGAAATCCTTTATATATATATTATACACATTATAAATCGGTGTAACATAATGGCACACACGCAGGGGAGCTCGTAAATTCGCTGATAACTATAATGTCATCACACACATCCAGCGATCGATCAAACATCATATTCACATCCACATATATTAATTTATACTCCCGATCGTGTTTGTGCGTCCACATTAGTTATACAAATGTATATATCCAATATGATTAAAACACGCTCTTTCATCATGTAGTGGGAATTGGGTATAGGTATAAGGATGCCCGTAATTTGAGGGCTGGTTTCATTACTTTGGACACCGTTATTATAGCTTGAAATCGAGGAAACATCGGTGAGAGAGGGCGCGAAAAAAATCTTTTACTCGTGCATGACATTAATTATTGTCATGGTTGGACACGGACTACGGAGCGCTCTTATCGTCCAAGTGTCGACAGTTTTAGAGAAAATACCCCTACATTTAGGCGATATAGCGCAATTTCCAAAGGTCAAAGCGATCAAGGTTATATGTGTGGTAAACTTAATTGCGCGTGGCTCGAACCGAGAAGAGAAAACATGAAACTCTCACCTCCTGTACCACCCCCTGGCACTTGGCTTAACTGTATACCTATTGCGAGCAAAGGCAGCTTGTATCTTATTTGTGGGACCCTTTGTCGAGGTGTATCATCAAAAGCGGGCGGCCCTTTGCGGTGTCAGTTTTCCAAGGTGCCATATATATATAGAGAGGGAGCTACCTCGTTTTCTTCCTTTGTGTTCTTTTTTCCCTTCCCCCCTTTTATCAATGAACGCTGAGCCGTACATATACGATGCTGGACACTATATTTACACGACAGTTGAGGCAGGTGTATGTATTATACCGTACGTGTATCATACGTCGTATACGTTGTGTCCCGGGTAACACTGAACCCTCCGAAATCGAGGGTATTGCGAGGAGGTCCAGCATCAAAGGGTCTTACGTGGAGGGATCTAGGGTTATTTAAAAGACAACAAACCGCGTTTAACCTGACGCATATAATTATCTGGTATGAAATTTAAGACTCCGTGGGATAAACATTAGGAAATATGAGTATTGTAATAGCTTGACTGCCTAGTGAGCTTTCAATGATCAGCCCCACCTGAACGTCGGTGCGAAGGTGTTTGGAGCCCGGTATCCTCGAAACGGCCACGCGGAGTTTAGCGCAGCGCAGCCTCGTGAATATCAATTAGGGGCGATTGCACGTATACAGGCACCTTCATTTCATTGGCTCTTGGGTCAGCCGGGAAACGTTATTGGGTATAAAATATCGCTAGCTTACAAATTGTTGTCGAAGCAATGGAGGAAGGAACGAGTGCCATCCGTGTGAAAAAACAATCCAATCGATGAAATTACATGGCTAATGATGCATACAGGGCGATGGCCATTCCCCTCGCCTCGTGTGTGTTTACCATGTATGTAATTGGCAGCTCGAGGGGCACGGTTGAGCGGACTTTAATTGTTATTGTTCGTGCTCGGCGATTCATTTTATTTTTATTTTTATTTTTTTTTTTTTGACCTTCTCTTTCCACCTGACACGGCCAATCGGATTTAAATGTCGGTAGCGCTGGAGAGACAATTGGTTTTTAATCGAAACCACGCTACTAATGACGCTCGTTATCCGGCGATCCGCTTTTGACCCTCTTTTTTTTTTTTTTTTTTTTTTGCTCAGTTTAGAGTGGTATTATTATTGCTATTTACTTCGGGTAAAAACACGCGAAAAGAGGATCGATCCGTCAAGTCGAGTCTTATTGACATTCGTGCATGTAACAGCACTGCAATGAAATCGAGGTCGCGGTGATGGTTCGTATACATCTATATCTGTATAAGGTCATGTTTATAAAAATTGACGCATTTGCTCATTTATATACATTTATCGATCAAAAAGAGGGACAGAGTCATTGTTCGCGGCATTGCGATAAGATTGTGTACAATTAATGAACAAAGGACCCGAGGCTGGGTATATAACCGGGACGTTGTGAGCAACGGCGCCGTACATATAATACATGTACGACCGAGAAGCGCCGACTGCAATTATTATGATCGATCGGGCTCGACGATGGTATACACAGACGAGCGCCCACGTGAATTATCGCTCATGATTTGTCGCCGTGGCTGTAATATACAGCGCGTGTATGTAGTTATATATGTACCTATATGTTTTCACCTGTAATATTTCGGTAAAGTGTTTCATCCACGTGCTGGTTTCTTACTACATGTAGAATCAATGTAAAACCAAGATACCGTCGTTTCGGGGGGAGGAAAAAAAAAAGAAGAACCCCGTACTTGTATACACCACACTCAGCAAACGCGATAAAACCCAAAATCGATGTGTAAGTACCGAGAGCTCGAACGAAGCCCGTGCGTAGTCGAGGTGATTTCCTGCTATATGCCATATACCGTTAATGATTCGAGTAAGCATTAGAAGGAGAGCGCGTCGAAAGCTCGCCTTGTCTGTTGGTGCTGATCAAACTCCGACCGACACACGAGCCCTGATCCCTGATGAAAAGTTCAAACAAGCTATACCTGCACCTATACACGTGTATATATATATATATATATGTATACATACGATACTCTTTTCATTGCGCCGATCGCCCGTGTAATGGAGCGGAAGCGCGAGTTTGTCGCTTCCGTGGTCGGAGGGACGTTCGCCGATCTGCCATTGTTCCCGCGCGCTTCATCATCCATCGTGCGACCATTACACGCACTTCTCTCTCTGGTGTCTCCACCATCACGATGGTTCTTCATTGACTCGTGCCCGAGCGCCGGCTATACACGTCCGGGGGTTATATTGGGTTACAGTCATTTGTAACTACATGAGCCGAAACAAAAGTACACGTGTAGGTATACATAAAATCCCTAATCGTTGGCTCACCGTGGCAGTACACTTTATCCCGTGCCGTTTGGAATACGAGCGTTTTAACTATTTTATCACTCATTTCTCTCGATAATCGTATATCAAGTATACGCCGATGCGTTTAATAATCTTGCGGCTGTCCTCATTCAGTGCATATAGTTACGTGGGACGCGATTATCCCCCTAAAAAGTATCGTGAAAAAGTTTGTGGTTCTGCGTGCAAAAAAAAACAAAACAAAAAAAACCAAAAAAAACCAAAAATCGGTCGATTTTTATAAAATATACCTATCTATAAACATATCCATACGTACGTTAACGAAGGTAATCCAAAATAAATGAACCTCGCCTATTTCTCAGCATCAGATGCAAGTGAATCATGAATACCGTACACATCGATGGGAAAAACGCATCGGCTTACAGTTATTTTTATCCTATGGAAAAAAGCACCTGCTAACGATGTTGTATACGAGCTGAAACTTGTATACCTCCGTGTGTTTGGGGGGGGGGGGAAGTAAAGAAATAAATTCTGGTGGTCCCGCAAGGATAGTAAAACGTAAATTCGTCTCACCTGCAAAATACCTCGAATCTGGCCCGACTTGGTCTCGACGATGCGAGAGGCGTACCGGGTGGCGGTCTGCTGGTGCTGTGACGACGTTGCGGCGCTCGCGAGCTCGATGATCAGGAAAATCAAACCGAGGAGAGTGGCAGTCCTTCGCTCCCAGGGCGGAGGCCGTCGGCATCCCATGGGCATCACAGCGGCAGCATGGGACCGACAACACCATGCCGCGTCTCTTGCTCCTGACTCCGCGCTTACCTCGCCACCATCTCCCGCAAAGCCCCGTTGTTTGCGCACGTGCACCCCCCCTTTTTTTTTTTTTTTTTTTTTTACCCTTTTGCAAACATGGAGCAGCTTACTGGGTATGCCCTTTTTTTTGGCTTTGCCCTCTTCTACCGGTGTATAGTGAGCGATTGGCGCGGTACGTTCGGGGTGCAGGCGGAAGTTTTAATATCGAAAGCGCAGACGGCTGCGGGCGCCTGATGACGGATCACGCTCCGATGACGCTGCTTGGCGATGACGATGCGACGAGTGAGTGCTCTGCAACAGACACGGAAATGGAAAACTTTTTTTTTTTTTTCCCCCGCTCGTGGTGAGGTGTACTTTGAAATGTAGTGTTGTCCGTGGATGGAGTTATTATTATTATTTTATTTTTTTAGTTTTTAATCGCACACCGGTGTAGTCAAACAAAGCTTTTACACACGTTGTTCGACCGATAGAGGTAAGACTGTTAAAACTGGGTGAATCTTTAGGGGCCCGTTACATCCTCCATCAACTAAATATGTAACTGCAATAAACCGTTATCAGCTATAAGCAGCTGAAAATCGATACGCTCGTGAGTATACAAAGAGCACACGCGACTTGAAAAACCTCAACGAGGAAAGGTTGGATGTATATTTTACAAGGTGACCGGGAGTAGCCCTTTGTAAATTCCGTCGAGAGCTGATAAATTCGCGGTCCTGCTTAATTTTGCCCTGATGGGCGCGAAAGTAAATTTTTCCTCGGGGAAAACGAGGAGCTTTTACACCCAATCTCCCATGTACCGCGTCTCCGCGAGATTAACCCATTCGAGGCGTCGCCGTTATTCGTTTTTCAAAGCGCCAGCGCGGAAAGTAAAACACGGGCCCTCTCGCCTGAATATATACACAAGACTAGGTACATAGAGGAAGGTGCACCTCTATCTCTATCCTTGGGAGCATCTTTATTTTTTTTTTCTTTTTCTTCCCCCCTCCGAGGAGAGGTGGTATACGTAAAAAAAAAAAAAAAAAAGGAAATTATCACGTATACAATCGTCAAGCGGAGCAAAACGAGGAAAAAAAATATATATGACCAGGGCTCCCTTTGCCTCCATTCATTCCTTTAGCGTAAAGATTTATACTTTTTCTTTCGTCACTTTGCGAGGTTCGTTCATCCCTTCGAGAAGTACTATATTCGTACAAGTGAAGCATTTTCGCAAAAAGAATGAATGCAGTGAAAGACTTCTTTCATAAACAATGATCGAGTAAGTACTCGCCGTTCGATTGGAAGCGCCAATTGATGTTGCTCTCAATGAAATTGCACGGCAATCATGAAAAACCAAAATTGTGGCAATTACGCGTAATTGAGCGATCCATTAAAAAATAAACTTAATATTCGTATTCAACCAAGTGCTCCCGTCAATTTAATGAGGTTGGAGAGACCTTATAAATCATTACATTGAATCAAACCGTCATTATTTTACACCAGGGAAGATTTTCGTTTGCTGGGTGAAATATTTAAAAGTAGCCTGCATCCGTTTGGACCAAGGGTCCAAGGGAATGTCCGAAGAGTATATATATATATAATAGTATTGCCATCAAGCCCGCGGCGCGTGATTCGTCCTGAATGAGTTATATACCCTGCAAGGCCCACAGGTGCGCATGTGTACTATATTCTCATTTAGCCCTATACAGCACTGCGTATACACATTATAATGTACAACCGGCGAGATACGGGCGGTGATTTATCGAGGCATATGGCTGTAGGGGTGACTACTGTTACCGATAATTATTACGAATTTCAGAGGGTCATCCGAGGACTGGTCACGGACGGGGAAATAAGGGCTCAGGTATGTTTTTACGCGAGGCTCCGTTGTAAGTTCGTTTCTGCTGAGCTCAGCGGGGACGCGCTACTCTGGGACCAAAAGAATACGTGTCATCGTCCCACAAGAGTACGGCAGAGAAGCCTGTCTGGGTAAACAATCCAGCGAGCCCAGGGAAAAACCTTACAGTGTACTTACTTGGGGTGTGTGTGTGTAAGCTCGTGTCATTTGTGCTGCTTGGACGACTTGAGTACGTGGCAAGCAAAACCAGCGCGCGAGAAGGAAAAAGAAGAGATCGTCGAACAAGGGACCGACGCTGATGCGATTATGTTCCGGAGCGACAAGGTGCTCGGCCACCACCCCTTTTTGCTATCTGCGGATAAAGTATAGGAGATATATAGGCCGGACGGAGGATTTATTTGGGCGGATCATTTTTGCGCGTTAAGCGGATTGTGGTTTTTTTTTTTTTTTTTTTTTTTTTTTCTTGCTCTCGCAATTTTTGTACCAACGTGTATACCAAAGCGCGCAGCTCGTGAAATCTGAGTAGAGATTTCGACGGTTCTTTGTTTAATTAAACAGGGGAAAGGTATAGATAATCAGTGCAGTATTTTCTCGCTCAAAGTAAACGCATGTCTGCAGTTGCGTTGGGGCCAATCAGCCGGAATTTTCAGCAAAGTTTTTAATATGTAAATATTTTACCATTATCTCTGAAAGCTGTATGCAATAGAATATGATTTAAATTGTTGAAATTTTTTAAAACTTTTCTGTAGTGAGTCAATAAAAGTCCAATAACGGACAGCGGACTATATTTGCCGGAAACAGTATAACGTACCGGTGAATATGATGAAAGAATAATGAACAGTATTACCGTTCCTCGAAATGCAACTTGCCATTTTATGAACAAAATCCCGCCACGGTTATTTACCTTTTAATCATCAACAGCATTGTTTTCGCTTCGTGGAAGTAATAGCATATGCAGGGACCGAAAGACATGAATATAATATGCAGTGTACAGGTGTGTCCCATTATGTACGTTCATATGAGATGGGTAAGTGACGGTCGGTCTTTTTGGGGATGATTAAAACTGTTTGCCGTTTCTCGCTCTCCCGCAGGTATACTCTTGCTTATTATTTATGCAAATACTTTTACGTACACACAAACGAACGACGACAATCGAATCAATTGGCTGTTGCATACACCGATGTCCCGGGGGTATACTATATGCATTGCCGTCTTTTTATTTCGTGCTTTCGTTATTTTAGTGCTCACACGGGTATCCGTGTAAACGGTTTATTGGATCATCGTGTGATTTTGCTTCCTCGTTAAGAGCATGGTGGTTTTTTTTTTTTTTCAATTTTATTCTACGTTCAAGTACAAACATTTTTTTACTCAATATTTGAAAGCTAGAATCAGTTTTACCCTTCTTTAGAGTCATTTTTGTTCAAAGCGTCGGTTTACTTGGCAATAAAACTTTTTTTCTTACAATTAAAAACCATCCAGATTACGGGAAAATAGTTACACTACAGTACTTTTAATTGCAAAATGAGAAATTATTATTATTTTTTTTTTTTATAATTTCCACAATTACAATATGATACATCATCTTTTCAACAATTAATCAGCTGGAAAATTTCTGGTATTAGTTTTATAAAACTAATAAACAAAAAATTCATACGAGGTTTTGTTTTTTTTTTCCCCCAATTTTTAAACGGTACCTTCAATTTTCATCATGATAATTGCTGAGAAATACAGATTCCATTGGTAGTGGTAAAATAGCAATTGATATTAGATTATCTGTGGCAAATCGATATTTTTTAACACTAGAAATTAATAGTTATTTACCACGCAAGTTCTGATGTTACACATTTTTACCAATGGTTGACAACAATCATCTTTTTTGCGTAAATAAACGACCCAAAAGTCTTAGGAAGTCTAAAAATAGTGTTAAAACATATAATATCCTCACTTAGAGTATACCACACTACCGCTGCCCATCAATGTGTATAACTCGTGTATAATTAAACGCAAAAGCATCCATTCCAAACTCAATTAAAATGAGCACTTGCCATTTAAAACTGAGAAGAAAAAAAAATTCAAAAGCAATTACTTTACGCGAACTTGGCTAAAATTTAAACGTGCACGTTGAACGAGAAATTTTAGCTTCAAGGGCGCCAAGCGCTTACCATTTTGTTTTCAAAAACGAAAATATCTTTTTTTCCGTCCTTTCCCGTTTAAAAGATTTGTAAAAATACTCGCGAAAGGGTATACACGGGCTCAGATATCGGATAAAAAGCCAGATTACAAAAAACATAATATAAATCGACGCTGGAGAGGCGCGCCCTCGTCTATTTGATTTTAATTGCACGACTTGCAGTCGAAATAAAAAAAAACAAAAAAAAAAAAAAAAAAAAAAACCAGCAGTGCTTATCAAAAAAGGCATCAAGAAGACCACGAGTGGGAGCAAAAGAGTGCACGTAGCGGTAGTACATTCGAGTCGAATTACAGCTACACGGAAGACCGACTTTTCCTCTCTCAAGCCTCCTCCCACGCAAAGAGAAGAGAAGAAAAGGAGTCGAGAGAGGAGCAAGTATAAATTGAGTAAAGGAGAGGAGAATTCGAAAGTCGGCCGCGAACGCGCGCGCCCCCGCGGGTCGATAAGTCTCGAGGGTCGACGCGTGCGCAGTAGGTTCGCGAGAGACACCACCCCGCGGTGTACTTCAGAGTGTCGGCTGCTGTCGTCGTAATCGCACCTGTTTACTGGTGGCAGTGGCTAAATCTGGCAGGCTTTGACTCGCTTCTCTCCCTTTTTAGATTGAGTTGCCTTTTTCCTTACACCTGCCGAAAAAGTGAGTATATACTTGTACTTGCGAAAAATATATCGTACGACAAGTCTATTATATACAGTGTGTTTGGTTCCTGATTTGCGTGTTGCCTGCTGTCTGCTGGCGGTTCTCGTACATGTAAAGCGTCGTATACGTATATATATATATATATATATATATATATATATATATTTTCAAAGCTTATCATCGATAAGTATCAATACTCTATTTTAACTCCAATACTCTATTAACGTTTATGACCTGCTAATGTCGCGTTTGTTGATTCATAAAACAAATGCGACAGTTTTTCCAAACCTAAATGTTGACTTGTGTTTTAATTTGCAAAACACTCCTAACCTGCTATATTGGACTTGTCATCGCAGTACACAGCTCGGTTTGTTTATTTTTTAACTTCGCATACGTGTACTTTTTGATTCAAGGTAATACAAGCAGCCAAGATGTCGATTTCGGCAATTTTTATTCTGGATATGAAGGGAAAGGTCTTGATTTCAAAGAACTATCGTGGAGACATTGAGGCTGGTGTTATTGAAAAATTTATGCCACTTTTTATGGAGAGAGAAGAGGAAGGCAATCTCACGCCTATTATACAAACCACCGAATGTACTTACGCCTACAAAAAACACCAAAATCTGTACATAGTCTCCATAACCAAGAAAAATGCTAATATATCACTAGTGTTTGCATTTTTTGTTAAATTGGTTGAAGTTATGCAAGAATATTTCAAGGAACTCGAAGAAGAGAGCATAAGGGACAATTTTGTTGTGATTTATGAACTTTTGGATGAACTGATCGACTTTGGTTATCCACAAACTACAGACAGTAAAATATTGCAAGAGTACATTACGCAGGAAGGCCATAAATTGGAAATTCAGCCTAGGATTCCAATGGCAGTTACAAATGCTGTCTCATGGAGATCGGAAGGAATAAAGTATAGAAAGAATGAAGTGTTTTTAGATGTCATTGAATCCGTTGACTTGCTGGCGAATGCCAATGGTAATGTGCTCAGGTCAGANCATTTCTAATATCTATTTATTGGCATTCATTGATTGAAATTGTACAAAATCTTTTAAAATAAAATTTTTACCACTTTAATTATTACTGTTGCTGATTGATTGGTGAGTGAAATGGTGAATGAAATAATAAGATCAAATTAAGTAAAGTAAACCAGTGTATGCCAGACTCGATTCTTTATACTGTACATATAAACAAACAAAAAAATTATAATTTGTGCAAAACTCGACTGTGGAGGGCTCTTATAACAAGTCTTGCTGATCAAAGTATTACATGTAAAAAAAATTTTTTTTGCACTCAGTGAATATTGTTACATATACTCGGCACAGCTATAGTGTTAAAACTTAGAATATGTAAAATAAAAAGGAATAAATTTTCAACTAAATCTTTAAATACGCATTTAATTTTCTATTACCTCTTCGATCCACACTTTATCCTGAATATTTTTTTTTCACATTAAAATTCACGCAAAAAAAAAAAAAAATCAAGAAGTGTACCTACATAAATATAATATGAGTGATCGTATTTTCATTCCATTCTTACCTAAATCACAAGTACCCAGGGAGTGCATGTGATCCCTTATTCTATACAACGATAAGAGTAATTCTCTCCTTCAATATCTTGTGGAACGAGCATCGCGCTAATAGAAAGTAAATTTGTACCTGACCCGCAGGAGACTGTATGTATATATCAGAAGTGTGGGGAGAGATGAGGAATAGAAATCCAACTCGACTACTTTTCCCTGGTTGGTGAAAATTATCCCATACTCTTTTTCTACTTAATTACGAGTCTATATCTCTGTCGATCGACCAGTGCAACCATGATCTCTTTTTTCGACTGTTTGCCTTGCACTCGTGGAAATCCACTCGTTGACTTGAAAATGGAATGAGTTTATTGGAATCTGGGGCAATTTTTTTTGCTATAATGCTATAGGCAAGAAGAGAGAGAGAGAGAGAGGAACTGTATATCTCTATTGCCCTCACCATTATCTCTTTTACGGGTTAAGTTAGCGAACATAGTACGAATTATGCAAAAAAAAAAGACATTTTTGCTATACAGAAACGGATTACAGTTTTTTCTGTGGCACACCTATGCATGTGCATAATCACTTTTTTTTACTAAGTGTGGACATGACAAAAGAATTGTTCTTACTCGTGATTTAAATCTTGTCATAATTTTTCAAGCTTTTTTCGTGTATTTTAAATTAGTCCTGGTAATTTTTTTTTTTTTTTATTTAATTTCTTGGTACTGAGATTTTTTTGGTTCTCTGACTTATTACTCAAAAAAGTGCCCAGTCATTTATTTCTTAAGCCTCGTTATTCTTCAGTGACACATTCGTAGTCTTAAACATTAAAAATTTTGCCAACTAGCGAATTTATTATTGTCAAATTCCACGGTTTGTAGAAGAAATCATCTTGGGATAATTTTCTTTTTGAATTAGGTTGAAAAATTTAACAAACCTTTCATTACCCTGAAATTTTAGAAAAATTAAAAAAAATTTCCAAGATGTTTTGATAAAACTTATGAAATTCCTTCAGATATTAAGTAGTTGATGTGTTTATACAAGTGCGAATAAAAGTATGCGCCGTCTTGATAAGATTCGTTATACATGTTATGAGCACAAGATTAATTAATTTTGGTTGCAATTGTGAAAAAAAAAATTTTTTTAATTACAAAAAATTGTATTAAAAATAAAGTTGTACATGGTTTATTGAACTAAATTCAAGAAAGAATTCGAAAATCAATTTTTCTAGTCTTAGATGCGATTAAACTGTATATGTAATTTT